TTAATTTTAGTATTATTAATTATTTAATCTAGATATTATATAGCTTTCTATTCTATATATTTTAATTAATAATACTATAGTTCTAATAAGATTTTTAATATAATAGACTAATCTAATCTTAGAGAAAATAACTAAGAATTTTTAGAAATAAATAAAGATTCTTAAAAATTTATTATAAATTAAGATTATTAAGCTTTCTATATAGCTCTAATAATTTTAGATTTATTTAAAATTATATAGTATTGTTATTTATTAATATATATTATTTAATAAGATTTTACAATTTTTTTTAATTTTATAAACTAACTTATAATCTAGTTTCTAGATATAAAGCTCTAGAATTTATAATAATTCTATAATCTTTACTTTAGAAACTAACAGAATATTAATATAAAAGTTAAATATATAAATATAGTTTTTAAGCTTAAATTTTATATTTATTCTATATATATTTAAAGGCCAGAATTTAGCTTTACTATAGTCTAGAATCTCTATTATTATATTATCTATATAGACTTTTAATAAGCTAGGCTTATAAGACCTGAAGTATAAAAAATTATTATATATATAGATATTAGAAAACATATTGGGTGCTTCTGATTATAGTGTGGAATGGTTAATTTTCTTAAGCTGCAGGAGCAGGATACTGCTAAGTTCTATATACAAAGCGGGAAAGGAACGGTACAGCAAGGCAGGCAGAAAGAAACAGGAGCAACACGAAGACCACAGGGGCATAATAGTGGAATAGGAATGGAACTGCAACACGCAACTAGCCTTGTTAGGCCCGCGGGTTAGACCGGGTTTTTAAGGTTGTTTAACCCAGCCTGTTGAGTTTGGGCCGGGTTAAGATGATATATAAACCACCCACAGAGGCCCACAACTGTAGATCCTTTTCTACTATAGTAATGATTTATATTCTTTATATAATACAGTCTTATAATACAGTAATTTATTTATATTATTATAGGTAAATAATATATTTACAGTATTTTTTGTCTTGGCAACCTGCGGGCTAACCCGTTGACCTGTGGGCTATCCAGGGAAGAAACCCGTCCCATACCGGGTTATTGTATTGGTCAACCCAGCCCATTTCTTGGTGGGTTGGGCCGGGTTGGGCTGGTTTTCGTGGGCTGGGCCTAACATGTCTACTAGTAACAAGTAGTAGATAATTAATATATTAATCTAATAAATCTAAATATACTATACAGATTAGATATCTACTGAAATAGAGATTATCATATATTAAAAAAGAGAGATAGATATAGATAAGGCTCTAAATACTAGTACTATAATAAAAGAGAATATATTATATAAAAATATTAGTTAAAATCTAATACTAATATTAGTAAAAAGAAAAATATATATAATTACTAGATAAGAAAAGACTAGTTAACTAAATAATAGAAGTCTTTCTAAAAAAAAGTAATAAATTTAAGATATTTAATCTACTAAATAGATAGAATATTAAAGCTATATATAATATAAAGTAGATTTAATATTAGAATAGATATTTTTATATATTAGATAAATTTCTATCCTGCTATAAAGAATTTCTAGATACTAGACTAATATAGTATTACGGGTTGAACCTGCAACACACACCACATAGTAGCTATGGTCATATAGTTCCCGCTAGTTATTCCTGATCTGTGTTTTCTGTTATCTTTTCCTCTTCAGCTATTTCTTCTTGTTCAATAGGCATACTTAGGTTAGAACAATCTATTTATTCTGTAATATTAGAAATAGCTTATCTGCCTGCCAGTTAGTGACAATAGTAGACCAACTATTGTAGACTCTAGACCTAGAGTCATACTAAGACCTGACTTGACCTGACCAGCCCGACTGTACGAAAATTTTTTTTATCATGACTGACCAGACACCTATAATCCTGCTTATACAGCAGCTCCAACAAGAACTCCAGAATCAATATATTGAGATCCAGCAACTACATACAGACCTTAATGCTTCACGTGCTGATATTCAGGAACTCTGTATAAAGCTGCAGTACTCCCAATCCCGATCCCGCCTGCCTGACCCGCCTCACTTTAATGGCAAGCCATATATACTTCATACGTGGCTTCCATCTATTAAAGCAAAACTATAATCAGATCAGCTCTCAGGAGCAGATACCTTTGACTATATATAGGATTAACTAGAATAACCTTAACAGGCTTCAGTCCTACACCTCCGCCAGTCTGCTAAAGATAATCAGTCTTGGAATCCTGAGATTATCTTCTCTTTCTTCCAATGTCTATGCCATAATCCACAGGAGTAACAAGAAGTAATACAGCGTTTCTTATCTATATAACAGAAAGAGAAGGAGTCACTTATTGTCTATCTTATTTATTTTGAATAACTCTTATACAAAGCCAGTACTACTTCATGGCTAGATATTTTGTATATGACCACGCTATATTGGGGGCTGCGGTCCACTCTCTATTAAACTCTAGAGGACTCAAATAACTTCTTATTTAATCTCCTATATAATAAATATATTGAACTGGTTCAACATGCCGATTAGCGCAACTGTCCTGCCCAGAAACCTATCTAGAAACCTGTCCAGACTCTACATACAGACCCGATGGAAACAGATCCTATCTATATAAATACTATCTGACCTGCCTTACCTGTCTTATCTATTACTTCTTCTTCTTCTTCTATCTTATCTTATCGCTCCTACTGTCAGGATCATGATCTCTACTTATACTCCGGCTCCGATGACTATTGGATTTTGAATTGTCCACAATACTCTGGTTCTGCATCACCTAATCCTGCTAAACCTCATATGAAGACCACAGCCTGTAGTGCTACATTAAGCGCACGCTTTGCTAAACGGCCTTCTTTGAAGGCCTAAGTGAAAGGGGGGGTACTGTTATGGGTTAAACCCGCAACACACGCCATATTGCGATGACCTGTACGTCACGTGGTTAGGCAGGCCTACTTCCCACAACACAAATCCTTGTATGATAGTGTTTCTCCCCCCATAGTTGAATTCAGTTGGAAATGCTACTATATCTAGCTTTCTACTGTGGAATAGCTATCTATAAATAAGCAGTCATCACATAATTCAACTATCTCTTCTTTTTATCTATCTTTTTTTTATCTACATGTGAAAGTAGTAGCTAACCTGACTAGTTAACCAACCTTGCGTGGACCCTAATCTTGAACTCTATAGCAGTTATTAGACACAAAGCTGTGGAACCTGATATAGCAGCCGTGTTAGTGCTGTTTTGAAGTGATAAATCCGCAGATATAAAGATCTGCAGGATACTAAGCTAAGGTCTATCAGACAATCCATCATGGTATGCCCTGTAGATATTATCAGAAAGGGCAAAGTAGCCTGTTGCTCTTCTCTTCTGATTAAAGAAGATAATACACAGCAAGAAGTGAATATAGAATAATTTATTAACTTTTATACTGAAAAATCTAAAATCTAAATAGCTATTTAAGAAATTTTTTTTTAACTATAATAAGTATAAAGGCTTGCTTACTAAGTATAGTAAGATTATTATAGAATAGCAGAAATATATTAAGTAATTTAAGACTAATACTGAGACTGTTAACCCTATCAAGATCCTGGAATATACAGAACTATAAAGAAAATTTAATAACTTAAAAAGAAAGATTAAGAAAAAGAATACTATAATATAAAAGTTAATTAATAAAATAAATTAGATATACTAGATTATTATCTAGAATATCTTATAGATATAGTAGCAGAGTAGAGAAATCTCTCTAGTAATTTTATTAAATTAAAATAAATCTTTTTACTATAATACTAAGATAACTAAATCTTTTATTTTTACTAATATTTAGAAAAGAGATAAGAATACAGTCTTATTTAAATTCTAGAAACTATAAATCTAAGACTAGTTAACTATAAATATAGACTATTTCTTTATTATAGTACTTTGCCTAGCTACTGTTAAGAGATAGTATAGTAATAAAGCTATAAATTATTTTATTTATTATTTTAAATCTAATTCTAATAATCTATATACTAATACTAAGAATATAATCTAGTACTTAAATCTAATCTATAATAATATTAATAAGAAAAAGAAAATAAAGACTAAATTCTATAAATTAATAATAAAATCTTATAATAATTTCTAGAAGTTTCTATTTAAATTTATTTATAATATCTAGAAGTCTAGTAAGCCTTATTTTAATTAAAAGACTAAGCTATATTACTATCTTCTAACTCTTCTATAGAACTAGATTATATTATTATATTATAATAAAACTATTAATTTTAGTAAGTTCTTTTATTACTATATTTTATTTATAAATTTAATTAAAAAGTAGTAGACTACTAAATAGAAAATTTATTAATAGAATTAATAAAGAAAGTAGATTACTATCTTAAAAATCTTTTCTGCTATACTTACTACTGAAAGTAATAAGAAATCTGATAACCAAGCTTTAAAATAAGTAAAGATAGTTAACTATAGTAAGATTACTTATTTTATTTATAAATAGCTTAGTTATTTTATAAATAAGTATTCTCTAAAAAAAAAGCTAGATCTAAAAGCTATTAAGTTAATGTCACAGTTAAACCTTAGGCTTAAGGCAGGATGACAAGTTGCGATACTATATATACCGCGCCTGGGAGATCAACTCTGATCGGAGTTGATCATAGTGGATCTTTTTACCTAGTGGAAAGATCTAATGTATTGAATTACTAATCCCAGGAGTAATCCTTTACAGTTAAATTCTGATTTTAAATTAGAAAAAGAGTATCTCTAGAAAAAGTCTTTTTTCTAGAAAAAAAAAATAAGATATCTAATTAATTAATCTTAAGTTATATATTTCTATTTATTTAAGAATCTAGAAAAAAGTTTTATAGTTAATTCTTATACTTTATTTATATCTTTAATTCTAATAGCTTATTAGAATAGTAAGTACTGTTTCTATATTAATTACTAGAAATTAAATATTCTTACTATAAAGAATTAATATTCTTTATTTTTAATTAATAAACTAATAAAGTAATTAAGACTTATATTTTTATAAGACTAGATATATAATAGAGATTTTACTATATCTAAATTAACTATAAATTTAAAGATCT